AATAATAATAATAATAATAATAATAATAATAATAATAATAATAATAAAAGAGAAAAAAGGGGAAAAATGTAGAGAAACATAAAATAAAAAATAAGAACCATGCAACACACAAAACTTCGAGTTGACAACACAAATGACGAGTCAGAAATAAATTTACAACATATTCTTTCAGTTATTGAGGATTATAGGAAGCTTTACTATGGGAAAAGTATACTGATGGACCACTATACTTCCAATCCTCTTCCTGAATCCGTCGGGAATAATTGCGAATAGTACTCCAGAAATCATTCTCTGAATTAATCGCCGTTGACGCAACGTTTTCGTGCTTCTCACGTTGCCGGAAATCCATATCCTAAAAATCAGTTTTTATACTACTATAGATACTAGATTTGGCAAAAAGAAATATCTATGTATATAAGACCAAAAAGAAAAGAAAAAAAAAACATAACAACAACGACGAGAAAATTATTATCGTTTACAGCTTTTTTTCCTTTTTACCTAGGAAAGCAAAAAAAAAAAAAACACCCCTTTTACCTCATTTCATCCACGAGAGACCTACAACTACTATCCTTCCTATTCAATAATAAACTAAAATAAAATATCCTACTCTGGAAAATAAAATAAAATAAAACATACCCATCGTATACCGATTTCCTAATAAGTGTACTCTTTACCAGTGTAACCCGCCCAGCACTCCCATTCTTTCAAACCACAATCGCGATTCAAACCATTGTTACCCCAACCAAACGCAAATGCACCACCAGGGTACCGGCGATGACGAATACGAGCAAACGGATTATCAGGTCCCTTATATGTGACATAATGATGCGAGTGTTGAAGTTTTTGATACATGATCCAAATAACTGCGAGAAGTCCAACGCCAGCAATACGTGCCGATGAACGAAGTCCAGGCATATATGTGGGATTAAAAAGCGGATCATCCGGCATTGGAAGCCGCCCGGTTCTGCAGGACGCCATTATAAGCTGTAATACCTATTATTAGGAGATCAACATAGAAAACGAAATGAAAGTGAAAAAAAAAAATCAAAAGAGAGGAACATCATCACATCTAAATTTAGCCACCTTAAAAAAAAAAGAAAACACACACATATCCACACACAAGAAAAGCAAACGTCAGACTTTCCTGTCGCAGAGAATACCTAGTGCGAACAAAAGAAAAAAAAAGACCTTACAATTTGATCTTATTAAAACGTTTTTTTCATGTTTATGTTTCCCTCATTGATGTCATCAACCACAGGATCCATATTATCCCATACTTCATCGCCAAGTGTGGCGGTTTTACTCGGTTGTTTGGAGTTTGCAATACCACTAAAGGCTGCAGTGTTATCGGCAAGTGGTAATTGTTTATCAAAGAGAATACTAGTGGCCTTCTGTTTCGTATACATAGATAACAGAAGTTTCCCGGTTGGAACGTGGTAGATCCTTGCTTTTCGATCTAAACCAGCAACACCAAGTATTTGATGACCTGCTGGATGCTTCGCCATGCTGCGCACACTCCCCACACCGCCACGTAACTTGGCTCTTGAAGCAAATCCACGTCTTGTGTCGTACAAATGAATGTCTCCACTTGCCTCACCAATCAGAAATTTATTACAATTCCACTGCATTAGAGTAGTTGGTCTGCGCTCAATTTCACGACTAATTTGAAACTCTTGTACTGGTCTTTCGCTACTTCGGCGGTCATAGAAACGAACTTGGTGATATGCTGTGCTGGTACAGAATACAAAGGGATTTATAATGCATGCCCCAGTTAAATAAATAGGATAGGGAACATCCAAAACATGATCCCTTACATTTTTGGCTCGAAAAACAGGATTTGAGACATCCTCAGCAGCAAGGTCGTACACACAAAGATCATTTTCCTTCCCACCCATTGCAACCATACCAAATTTCCGATGAATATGAAATGCCTCAACAGGACCATTGCATTCAAAGGTATTTTCTTGATTTAATTCTGAGTCAGCAATCAAAAGTTTTCCATCAATGGATGCCATAATAAATTTTTCTCGCACAAAAGAAAGGCTATTGGGCAAAGCTGCGGAAACTCCTAAATTTTTTGATGTGCATAAATTACGTTCCCCAATATCTAGAATAGATACAACTCCGTCCTTCATAGAAATAGCAACCTTGGTTGTTGCACTATCCACCCAACACATACCAGCTATTCCTCTCTTCCTGTTCTGCTCTCCATAGGAAAACGTCAGCGTGGTACCTGTGCTCTTTGAGATATCCCAAACCTTTACCAGACCAGTGTCGTCACCAGTTATACAAGCCATGTTTACAGAAGAATGCTACCATCAAAAAGAAGAAAAAAAAATTTTCAGAAGTCTATAAGTAATATAAATAAGGGATTATAATTTTATAATAAACAATAATATATATATATATATATATATATATATGAGAGGAAGATTTCAAATCTTTAACGCAACAAATCAAAATATTTCTCAATATCCTTCTCCGTAAGATCGACTAGTACAGTTGCTTCCAAGTGAAGCTTTTGACGTTTCAAAACATCTATGAGTTTATTCTGTTTGCGCAAACAATTTACCAAATCATTTTTTTCAGCAGAGAGTTTATCAATAATAGATTGAAGCTCAATAACAGTATCTTCTGAAGACATTTTTGCCTTACTATTCATTTGGTCTAAACTAGACTTTAACAAGTTTACTTCTCGAAGAGCAGACTCGAGTCTTCGTTCGGTAACTTCACTATTACTGGATTGGAGTTGCCTTTGAAGCAAAATAATTTCTTTTTTTTGTCTTGTGACCGTAGACTCTGCGACAGATAACTTCTGTTCCATGGCTTTCCTATTGCAGACTTCAATATCCATTCGCTTCTGTAATGCAATTAACTGCTTCCGCAGCAATTCCGATTCCTCCCGATGTTTTCTGCGTTCAGATAACAACTCCCGCACATCATGGTTAACCTCAGAGGGTAATTTTTTTTTTCTGGAGTCAACTTTTGAAGACACATCACTCTCAGGTAAGATGGATAATCCTCGTTTATCACTGCAAGAGTAACTTAAAGAATTACCTTCAAAATTCTGCAGCTGTGAGATAGAATCTTCAACAAACTGACTACCACGACTCAACTGCAGTTCGCTTCTTTCATCTATTGCCTTCTCAGAATCCTCCTCATTGAAAGAATTCATAGTGTGTCTTTTGTTGTTGTTGTTGTGGTTAAGATAATGAGAAAAAAAAAAAAAAAAACGAAAAACCAATGGCGAAAAGGCAATAAAGTTACTTTTCAGGAGGAAAAACACTCCCACAAAGGAAAAAAAAAAAAAAAAAACAACACCATGCAGGTTATCAAAAGAAAATCATTCTTTTTTTTTTTAGCAGCCGCCCCCGCCAGGATGGACGAGACGCGAGAAAAAAAAAATCCCACGAGCCCCGAGACACCAGGGCCGCAGCACCAGGGCGACCAAAACCAGTAATCGCCCGCGACCGGCCGCCCGGGGCGCCCTAAGGATCAAAAGGAGGCGGACGCGGCCCGACCCCGGCGGGGCCAAAGGAAACACCGAGGCCCAGGGCCCCCGGGGTTCCATGGGGAAAGGCGTCGCCCTGACCGGGCGCGGGGGGAGGTTCCGACGGCGGGGGGCGGTCCCTCCGTTATTTTTTTTTTTTGTCCGTTTTTCTTGGGGTGTCGGTTCATTTTTTCCCCTCGCAACCGGCGGCCGTTTGGGTTGGCGCGGGGTCGCGCGGAAAAAAAAAAAAATGATAAAAAAAAAAAACGTGCGGTTTTTTTATATTTTTTGCAGAAGTTTTTTTTTCCGTGAGGAGATGCTTTCTTGACTCCTCCCTGTTTATTCGGGCTTTCTTTCCATCACGCGGTGGGGCATTCTGTGGATGAGAAAAAAAGAAATAAATAAACACATGACGAGATAATCTTATCTTTGTGCCATTGCCCTCCTGCAATGGGAGGAACAAACAAATTGGTGTGTCTGTGTGTGACCTGTCATCTGGGTGGGGTTTCCTTTTTTCCTAGTGTAGACTGAGAGTAATTATGGAATACTCTCAGTGCTGTTCAAGTGTCCACAACAATGTGGGCACGATGGTTGGTTACGGAAGAGAAAAAAACAACCACAACCACAACTCTTCTTTATATTTGGATACACTTGTTGAAGAAAAAGATGGACACCAATTACTTGACGTTTTGTTCTTCTGTGTTTACGTTTATCAATACTAGGGTTTGTGTACACCTCAATGTTAAACAAATACCACGCATGGAACACTTAAGTGCAGAATTCATTTCCATGACGAATGTTTGTTTACCTTTTGTTACTCTCTTGTAGTGTACATCCCCTTCTCCTGTGGTTACAAATTACTCATGACCAGTAAATATACAGCCTGACATGGTTTAAACCACAATGGTTTATTTTCTGCACATGAGAGAATGTGCGAAACCACAATCATGATGTTGGAATTAACGGTGTAATGAATGAACTTGTAATGATATCCACTATTGTTTATAGATGTGTGTGTGTTTGCTTTGAATTCTATAAAGTGTTAGTGTCTTGATTTGAGAACCTTGTACTACATTCATCTGCTGTGTACGATAAGGGTCAATGGAGGATCCTGCTTATTTTTTATTGTTGCCTTATTCATAGTTGCTATTAAGCTGTTAGGGAGTGAGAGAGAGAGAGAGAGAGTTATTTTCTGTTCATTTTTTTCTTGCTATTACTAGTGTTTTTCATCTGTATTTACAGTGTAGTTCACTTGTTGTGTGCTTTCTTTTCCTTCTTTTCCTTTCTCCAGAGAATAGCCTCAAGCAATCCACCACTGACAAGTAATCAAGCAAACCAAACAGCATGATGAGGCGGATGAACAGAGAAGGAGTACAATCGATAGAACTGCAGGTTTGTAAAGAGCAAGAAGAGTGCTGCGTGCGTAACGACACACACAACGTGATGCCCTCCGAGCATTATGCGTGAATAATTGAACACTGCATCGATGGAAGAATGAGAAGAATACAACATCATCACTGTTCCATCAAAGGCTGTCGTTGCAACAGGTGCTGCGTGTCCTTGTGGTGTTATGGCTACTAGTGCCTATACCAAACCCATTTCTCTCCTATGCTTCAGCTGCTGGCACAAATGGTATTTTGACAACCATTACCGGTTGCTTTCCTAATATGGTGGTCTATGACAGTCAAACAACACAACACTGCGAAGTGGACAATACCAATGTTCTAAGTACCTTGACTCTTAAGGTTGGGTATTACACTCCTGAAGGAAGACTCATTTCTGGATGGCCAGCTTCTCTTGTGGAGGGAACAAATCTCATTAGATTTGTGCCAAACAGTGGAGCTACTTCAGGGGATATGAGTCTTGTTATTCTAGACGCTAGTCAAATGGGGTTCCCTATTCCAGTGACGAACAACTTCACCATGAACTTTGTGAGATATGGAGCAACAACAGCATCATTTACTTCTAACAGTGCCTATTATGGGTTGAAGAGAATGGTGCGGACAAACTTCCCAAATATCAATCCCATTCAGAACTACCTGCTAGTTCCTCCTCAGTCAGACTGTGATGTCATGGCAAAAAAATGTAGTGCTGCTACTGGATGCTACAATTTGGCGATTTCTGCATCCTTTCCTATTCCTGGGAACTATTCACTCTGCTTAACCGCGAGTGGATGGCGAGGCTACTACTTGCCGTGGGGTGGAAATCCCCTCGAAGTGAAGGTGCTGGTGCCAAGCGAACTGTATGTGAACACTCTCGGGAAAAACACGCTGTTGCTCCAGGACGCAGTGACAGGTGCAAATGTGACTGACATGAACAGTGTGTTCCTGGTGAAGTGCCCATACGGTGCATGTCCACACGTGACACTAAACAGTGGTGATCAGGCAGTGAGTGTTGATGTGTGTACTG